AGAGGGAGGGAGGGAGGGGGCATCCGTGGGAGATGGGGTGGGGGAAGGGGATGCAGCGTGGCACCAGGGCCAAACATTTTCCCTGGGGAAAGAAAAGCCACGAGTCCCCCATTGGGGCTGGCTGGTCTAAAAGCTCCAGAACCCAGCCCCCCCAGCCCAGGTGGGGTCCAGCTGGGCTGCCCCACCCCGAAAGGCCACCCCGAGGTCCAGCTGGGGAAGGGACTGAGAGCTGCTGGGACCCCCCCCTTTGGGGGATTCTGGCAACCAGTTTTGGGGCGGCCCTGTCTCTCCCAGCCAGCCCCCACTCTCTGCTCCAGAGGCAGGCTGGTGAAGGAAGGGGTGCCTGTCTCCGCAGCCGCTCTCCTTGGCCTCTACGGAAGACGGAGGGAGGGGGCCTTTTTGGCCACCACCCACCGGGATACCAGTTGGGCTGGTAGGATGGGAACCCTCCCTCTGGCTCCCGCCCTCAAGACCCCAGCGGAGGCTCCCTGCCTCTTTTGAAGCTGCAAGGGATGGGACCCCTCCTCTCCCCTCCCGCCCAAGGCTGGACATCCTCCTGGCCCAGTGGACCTCCCCCCCCAGGAGGGACAACCAGTTTTGGGGCTTTTCCCGCCTTCTGACCCTCCTTTTACCTTGGAAGATCAGAGGTGGCCGCTCTAACACCTTCCGACCCTTGGAAGATCAGAGGTGGCCACTCTAACCTGCCACCCTGAGGCCCAAGGACTCTCTCCTGCCCTGCTTGTGTGTGTGAAGGTTCCTTCCTTCATTGGCTTCAGGGAATCCTCCCCCACCAAAGGCTTCTTCGCCTCCTGGGAGGCCCCTCCCTTTCAGAGGCTCCTGCCTTTCCCCACCAGGGTTCCGGGTTCAAGTGCAGGGTTCCCTGTCCTGCAACAGAAAGGAGAGCAGGGAGCCCAGCGCAGCCCCCTCCCCGGAATAAGAAGGGCTGCAACCGGCACGGAGCAAGCCTCTTTGCTAGGCTGCTCGTTTTGGGGTGGGGGTGGTGGGGACTCAGTTGAGCCAAAAGGGTCTTGGGCCACATTCTGGCTTCTGGGATTGAGAAGCGCCTTGTTTCGTGGACTAAAGTTGGGGGTGTGTGAGCTGGTTTTATTCTTTGTCTAAAAAGACCAGCGATGCAGCTTCTGGAAGGGGTTCAGCAGAGCGCCCAGGGCGGCTTAGAGCAAGAAGGGCGAAATCATGGCCCTCCCCCTGGGCAAGGCACCCCTTCCGCGTGACACCTGAGGAAAGGATTCCTCTTCCGCCTCCCTCTCCGCCACGGGCCATCCTGTGGAACTGCTTCTTCCACCTGTGGGGTTTCTTTTCCCCTCACAGGCCAGCACTTCCTAATTACCATATCCTGTAATAATCTTGGCAGCTTTTCCATCTATAAGCGGCGTGCACACCTGCATCCCTAAGCAATGCCTAAAGGTCATGACCCCCCCCCTGAAAATATAATTGCCATGTCCTGTAATAATCTTGGCAGCTTTTCCATCTATAAGTGGCGTGCACACCTGCATCCCTAAGCAATGCCTAAAGGTCACGACCCCCCCCCAGGGCATGGTGATCCCTGGCACTGCCTTCCTCCTTTCCCTCTGGGGCTCAACGTCTGTTCCGGTTTGGCTCCTCCGCCCTCGAGGAGAGCAGGGCTTTAGGGGACGAGTGTGTAGAAATGAGCCCCGGGGAGGAAAGAGGGCAACTCTGGTGGAAGATACGGGGTCCAGAGGACACGCAGCCGTGGATTCCAGCCACAGAGTCCCCTTGCTGGATTTTCCTGTAAGCGCTGTACTACCCTACCTGTCATCATCATTGTGTAAAAGGGGAATAGAAATGTGTGCCTTCAGAAGAGGGTGATGGCTGGTTTCTTTCCAGCTCAGTCCTCCCCCCTCTAGTTTTCCCTCTTTCCTTGGCTTGCTAGGGTGATGATGATGATGATGATGTGTGTGGCCCCCTCCCCACCACCCGCAGGTCAGGCAAGGGAGTTCCCTGGTTCCACTAATGGCTACAGGTGTCTTCTTCCACCAGGTCAATGCACATGGTGGGAGGGGAGGGTGGGCATGACGGCCCAGCCTATTTTTGGAGAGGACTGGGCTGGGGGGGTTTAGCTGGTGCAAGGGGTGTGGGGTGGGGCAGGGGCAAAGGCCAACTGCCCTCCGAGTCCTGCTGGACATCTCTTTTGGGAAAGGACCAAAGTGGGAGACCTCCAACCCACCCCCACCAATGGGACCCTGCATGGGGGAGGGAGCGTTACTGGGCAATCTCTAGATCTAGTATTTTCCGGCAAGGAACGCAAGCTGAGATGCAGCAGCTGAACCAAAGGTCTTGTTACCCTTGAAATTAATGGTCGGAATCTCCAGCAAGAACAACAGGCTAAGACACACACACAGCTGATACTGAAGCCAATTTTTATTTAAAAAGTACAGCTGGACTCTTCATCTTAAAAGCAGAGAAGAGCCCCGATTAGAAATTGCATAGGCACCTGAATCCCAAGTTTGGATCCAGTGCCCCATTGGGTAAAAGGAACCCACTACATACAGTCATTGGTTACAAGCCAATATCCATATTATGGCCCCATGTCTCCTTGACCTGTGGTTCAGGATGCGCCTGGATGTCTGGAGGGGGAGAGCCTCGACTTCCTTCTCTATTGATATGGTTATGTGTGTTTCTTCCTGGGCTCTGGATGTATGGCCTTCAAGAATTGTAATTTACTGACAAGTGTGAAAATACTGGTGGCTGTTCTTCCTCCTCCTCCTTACATTCCGATGGTGGGCCATCTGGGCCATTGGTCACCTAAAGGCTGGCATTCCAAGGTGGGAGAAGGAGTTGCTTTGTTATTCTAGATGGGCCATAAATGCCATCTGTGTGAGATGTGAAGAGGTTCTGGGTTTGGTATTTCAAGACCTGTGAGGCCCGGTATTTCTCAAACATTGTGTCAGATCTAAAACATTGCTTCTTCAGTGTCCGAAATTGTACCAGAAAGTGTATAATCTTCTCTCCCTGGTATCAGGGGTGTTCTTGCTTAAGAGCGCTGGAATGATGGCCAGGAGACACACACACACACACACACACACGTTCTGCTCTGCTTGCCCAGCCACGAAACATTTTTGACTTCCAACAAGCAAGGACACCCCCCTCCCCTCTCCAGAGTGCCACAAGGGTCTTCTGTGGTTTTTACTACAGCTGAAAACTTGGGTGCTTTAAATTTCTTCTATGAGCGTTCAGTCCCGTATTTTCCTTTGTACTTTATTCTCCTCCCTCTCCAGATCTCTCTTTATCCAACTGCTTTGTGCAAACTGGCTTGATGGGAAACCCCCCCCCCCCCAGTCTAACGATCACTCTTGTGGAGTAAGCAAAAATCCTTCCAAAATGTCTGGCCAATAAAATACGTTTGCCTTTAAGGTCCCACAAGGTTCTTCATGCATGTGCCCTCCCTCTCTGGGCAATGCTGGCCCGCTCCCCTTCACATTGACACTTGCAGGATTGTTTCCTGCCGAGATGCAGCCCTCCAGCGTTGCCCATTGTCACTTGATTTCATTCAGGGAGGAGGACGTGGGGCGCTCAGGCTGCTCAGCCTTGCCAAGGGATGAGCGGGAAGGAGACGGAACCCAGGCCTGCCTCACGTCGTCCACCCACTGGGCTACGCCGGCCTCAACAAGATCAAAACTTTCTCTAGACCTTCCTCCACAAACATACTTCCCTGTATCTCCCTGAGGTGTGGGGTTCTGTGAACTTTGGATAATTATAGCTTTTGGCACAGAGGAGCTGCGCTTTGGGTTGCAAAGATTATGGGACTCGCTCGGTGTGTTCGTTTGCGTAAGAGGGATGGCGACTAGCCTACATGCTGACTCGTCGTCTTTGTCAGTTGGCTTTGAAGAACTTAAATCAGGGTCCACGTTCTTGTGGGCATTTTTAGGTCCCGCGGCTGTCACCCCTCTTGTTCGTAGCCTCCTGCAGACCTCCAGATGTTTCCGCATTAGCCAGTCTAGCCATTGTTCAGATTTAGAAGAGTTGTGGTTCAAAAAACATAATAGGGAGAGCGTCTTCAGTCTTAACACAAATTTCCAAGGGCACCAGTCTGCGAACACCAGCGAGGATTCGCTGAAGACTAGATGTGGTTTCAGGAATGCCGTTTCCCCTGCCCTTATCTTAAAAATCTGCCACAAAAGCCTTCGTAAAAGCCAGGGTGACCCTTCCACCATAGTTTGTTTGTTACAGGGCATGTAGAAAGACTGGTTAAAAGATGACAAACATAAAAAATGGTCAGTTTTAGTTTTAGCCAAACTGCGGACAAGAAGGAAGACGTCCTTAGCAGAACGGTCCCCCCACCCACCCCTAGTATTCATGCCACAGTTTTAAACCCTGGGAGGAGCTCAATTCACGCAACAATGCCCAGAATCTCCCCTGTCAGTATCATCAAGGCCACCTAGGCTTAGGGATTATGGGGTCTGGATTCCAAAACATAAAAGTTTCCCGGGCTCTTGCACATTTTAAATATAACCACTCATCTGGTTTCCTATGATGAGAATGGAGATCACGCCCAGGGAGCTCGAAAGATCAGTGTTAGTAAATCTGCAAAATACCTGTTGCCTTCTCCCACATAATTGACAAAGATGGAGAGAATCAGTAGGGAAATTCTGTGTACCCATAACTTTTACAGGCTTGTGTGCAACCCTAACAAGAGTGTGCATCATTTGTCCAACACCAGTCATGTCCATCAGCTGACTAAGCAACATTGACCACCAACCAAAGAAATATTAGCACACTATTACTGGATGCGTTTTAACTGATTATCTGCACCTATCTGGGTTACACTGCTCTCTGCACGCATCCGCCTGCCTGTTGGCATTGCTCTTAAGCAGCCAAAACGATCTACAAGAGTAAATAGCTCAGAAGAGAGCAGAAGCTTCTGTGATTTGGGCCATCTCGCTTCTGCTCAGGCTGCTTTGCCTTGTTAGCAGCACGATCGTACAGCTGGCTTGTGTCCACTGTTGGATCTACTAGATCCTTTCCACACAGGAACCAACATGGGCCAGTGAGGCGACATGCTTGGAGCGCCGCCACATTGACTGTTAGGAGATCCAGGCTTTTTTCTGCATTGGTTTTCAAGGCAGACACACAAATAAAATAGAAAAAGAAATTGAAATGTTTATTCATAGCGGTTTGTTGGTGTGCAAACGGACTGCTTTGGCCACACGGGCGCAGAATTCTCACGCCCGCCAAAGCAGAGAGGAGAGAGGATGACGGGCTGATGGTAAAATAAGGCAGAAAACGTGCAAAGACCAGGAAGTTTCTTCCCCCTTTTCTACTCTGGTGAAATCTTGCCCCCCCGCCCCCTAACAGGAAAATAGAAAACAAGCTCCAGTGGCGTTTCTTGCTTCCGCTTTTCTCTTTTATGGGATGGCATTTGGACGGAGGCCTCTGGCAAAGGGAAGAGGAAGACCCAGCCTTTTTTTCCCCTTGAAGGAAAGAGGGGCAAGAGAGCCAGCTGGTCAGAGGACGCAGCCGTGCCCGGGAGTCTGGAGTCAGAGGACAACCTGANGGGGTGGGGGGGGTGAATTTCCACCTGCTTTCTGCTCAACCCGCTCCCAGGTTCAGATATTTTTTTGAGGGCTGCTTCCTGTGTGCCAGTTACTGGATTGGGTGGGAAAAGGTGACAACGTTGCCAGGTGCAACACAAAAACAGACAAGACACACACCAGCAGCCATCCTGCAGCATGGGCCCAGGAATGCTTGGGTGGGGCCAAGCCCCTCGTCTTGCTGTGTGAACAGCCTCAACCCCCCCCCCAAAAAACTCTGCAAGTCAGCCTTCCATTCATTCCCACGGGGGGGGGCTTCTTCTTGGAGGGTCCTCTCTGTGGCGCCCCTAGAGAAAGACCTTTGAGTAAGAAGTTTTAAGAAGTACCCAGAAGGGAAGGCAGCTCTTTCCAAGTGCGATTTATAGCCCGCGTTGAGTCTCAAGGGAGAAGCCACAGCAGCCCTGAAGGACATCCGTGACCTCGGCCAAAGAGCCCGGGCCTCTCTGCTTCCCCTCCTGACCGTCTCCAAGTGGGAGGGAGGGAGGGTCAGCACCGAGGTCTGAGAAACATCAGGATGACCCCCGTTGGAGCAACCTTGGATGTGATGGTGTCGTTCGGCCGATAGTCTCCCATGAACAGCTTGTCCAGCACGTTGTAGATTTTGTAGCCCGCCGGGCAGTCCGAGATGCCCAGCAGTCCCGCCGTGGTGGCAAAAGGCCTCGGCATCCCGTCTGTGCCGTTGTTCATGATGGCGACCGCGTACTGGCCGTCGACGAGGGGCCTCTTCCATACTTCAAAGTAGTGGCTCTGCCAGACAGACAGAGAGAGAGAGATGTGGAGTAGGGAAGTTACTGGCTCCGACCTTTCAGTGGCATGGGTGTGTCGCTTGGTCGTGATCAAGAAGCTGCCTTGTGCTGAGCCTGCCCCCCCCCGACCCTTCTGGCCTAGCCCAGCTCAGACCCGGCTGCTCTCGAGGGTTTTGAGGTGGGGTCCCTTCCCAGCCTTACAAGAAATCCCCGGGGTTCCCACAGGCCCCATCTGGCTTCATTTCCCCTCCCTCACAGCTACTGTTTCCCCTTGCCGTCGCCTGAAACCCCGCCGGTTACTCCCTGCAGAGGAACCTTTTGCGGTGGCTACTCTAGAACACGTTGGGGCAAACAGCCAGAGGAGCAGCGGCAGACCTTGCTCGAGGGCTTCCAGGAAGGACCCGGTTGGCCCTGGTTGAAAACAGGATGTGGGGCTTTGCTTTCAATGCAGGAAGGTCATTCCAAGGTCCTGAGTCAGCCTCCCCCAACTGGGCACCGTCTGGATGGGCTGGACAACAACTCCCCGTGTGGTGTCTGGGGATGACGGGAGCTGTAGTTCAACATCCCTGGACTAGGGGTGCCGGGGGGGGGGAAGGCCCTGGGGTCTGTTCCCCTTCAGCGCCTGTCCTCTTCTTGAACCCTCCTCATGATCCTTGCCTTCCTCTCTTCCTGCCTGAAGGCTCACCACCTCCCTTGCAGCTGACTTTTGAACAGCATCTAATTGTTCTTCCGGCCCTCAATACATATACAGCATCATTACTCATTCCAATCTATAAACGCCTCGTGCTATTTCCATTATTTATTAGTTATTCGTGCCCCGGAAAGAGCAGCGTTTCCACCCTGGCCCTGGCCTCCACCCAGCTCAGGTTGCCGCCGAGCACCCACGCCTCCTACCCCACTTCTGTCTGGGAGGGGGAGGCGCAGAGACCTGTCCTCATCCTACTGCCCCCCCTCCAGCTACAGCTGTTCATCCTAAGCTCCAAAGCCCACAGGGGTTGACGGACTGTCAGCCATTGCCAAGCTCCCTGCGCAGGTGTAAGGATGGCACATGGCGGAGCTCCCTACCAAACGGGGTGCGGCTCCCACCCATCTGTCATCAGGTCCAGGGAGGAAGTGCAAATGGAGCGGAGGGAGATCTGGCCCGGATGGGTGGAACTGGCACAGGAATTAAGGACCAAGAGAACAGGGGCACAAACAGTCCCCGATTCAAGAGGGCTGAGAACACACCTTTGTGATGCGCCGGCCTTGAATCCCCAGGGAATCCTGGTTGATGTAGATCAGAAGCGGATTCTGCAGCAGGTCCTTGGCCTCCTCCGAAATGGTCCGCAAGTTGCAGGACATGAAGAAAGGGGCCGCCAGGATTGCCCACAGGGCCACCTGCACCTTGGACTGCTCGTGACTCAGGCCAAAGTCACCAATGATCAGCTGGACAGAAGACAAGACGAGGGGCCACTTTCGTAACCTTTCCCACAAACCTCGTGTCCCTTGCCCCGGTGTTGCCCTCAGCGCTTCTTCTGGAACCGAAACAGAGAGTGGGTCGAAGCGCCTCCCGGGAGGAGAGGAAGGGGCGTTGTTACCGTGTCCGGGTCGTTCCACCCTCCTGGCCCAGCCGCCGGCTGCAGCACGTCCTGATGGTCTCCGTACCACTCGATGATGCGGAACAGCCGGGCCCAAGAGTCTTGAATATCCAGGTAGTTCCTCCACAGGTTACACGTTTTGCCAAGTAAAGTATAATTCACCTTGATAAAAAGAAGTGGTATTATGTGCCTCGCCTAGAACGGATGTTGCCGGGGATGTGGTCCTTCTTTGCACGTGCTCTGCCAGAACGTTTGTGAGCAGCTGGGACTATTACGAGGGATAGCTGTTGGGCTGCATCCTGCCCTTTCACTCTCAGGGACAACTTGAAGGTGAAAAATGGGTTAAAATGGCAGCACCCGCTGTAGCCACAAAGTGGGAGGAGGCTCTTGGCGTCCTAAGTGGGCCTTGGCGTCCTAATGGAACACCTTTACCCTCGGCTGGCAAAACCAGCTGCTGACCAGACTGATGCCTGGCCAAAACAATTCCTGTAAACCGAAACCTCTCTCTCTTCTGTACGGCTGGAGGGAGGGGCAAATTGTGGCAGTCTGGACTACAACTCCCATAGTCCAAGTGCGGAAGGGAGTCAAAGTCCCACAACCTTTTCTGGAGGACAGGGCTTTGCCCACCCCTGCTCTCTGGGCACAGGGAAGAATCCAGGCCTTGAAACAGAACTCAATGCAACTCTGGAAGGGCTAGAGGAAAACAAACGGTGGCTTTAGTGCCAAGGAAAGTCCGGAAGGTTGCAAGGGAAGGGAGGTGGAAAATGGGCTCAGGAATCACCTTTGGAGGAAGGCCCCCTTCGTAGGCGGGCCAGCTGCACGAGAAAGCAATTGGGCGCCCGGTTTTGTTCAGCGACAGGCTCATCTTTGGATAGCCTGCAGGAGAAAGGAACCAAAAGAGAGTTAGCAGCCGCCTCTCCTCAGCTTGAAAAAAAAACCACAGCACCCAAAAACGTCAAGGGTGCCTCCTGGGACTTAAGACCATCCAACCCCACACAATGGCCATTTTAACTTAAAACTGGACCCATAAGATTACTGGCAAGCAATGAAAAACAAAGGATCAACAGCAGCCCTTCCTGTGGCTGCTGCCTGTGCTGATTTTCATTCCCCACTGGAATAAGGCAGGGGCGGGGAGCCTTGACCCAAAAATCCCCACCCCACCCCCCAAACTTTGCCCTCTGTGGCTGGCACGGCACAAACCGATGGCCTTGGTGGAGGAGTTGGAAAAACAGCCATCCAGCTTCAGCAGGTCAACTCCCCATTCGGCAAAAGTCCTGGCGTCGGTGTCGAGAGCCTCCAGGGGCGTCCCCGGGTAGTGTTCACAGGTGGCACTTCCCAGGTCACTGTAAATGCCAAATTTCAGGCCTTTGGAGTGAACCTGGGTTGGTGGGAGAGGAAAGAAACTGAAGGGGAAGGCTTAGGACAGAGCATCCCTTTTGTGTGCGGACCTTCCTCGGGTGCAAACTCATGCAACCAGCCCCCCGGAATTCCCTGATTATCAGCCATTAAGGCTCCCCTGCCAACTCATGGCATCCAAAGGTTTCCTCAAAGCAAAAAAAGAATTCCACGGGAGACTCAGGGATGTGGGCAGGAGAATCGATAAGGCTTTGTTTCCAAAAAATTCTCCATCAGCCTTTCACGGCATAGCTGTGTGAAGGGGATTTCATCCTGTATTTGTGCCTAGGCAACTAAAAAAATTGGTATGAGCATTCATGGACTGCAGCCCCTTTCGTCAGATGCAACGGCCATCCATGGCAGTCTTGGTAGCATCACACAGGCTAACCAATCGTGTCTGACGTAAGCTTTCACACACCATTGCCTGCTTGCCACGGGAGAAGAAGGGAGTGATCTGCAGTCCACGAAAACTTCTGCCAATTATTACCTGCAAGTCTTTAAGCTACTGTACCTCCTGACTTTTTATCATTGTTGTTCCAACATATTGGAGGAGCACTTATATCAACCCGAAGAGGTGCAAAAGAAGCTGGCCTTCGGAGCATTTCAACCTGACACATCGCTGGACTTACATAGTCAGCAAGGGCTTTAATGCCACTGGGAAACCTTTCGGGGTCCGGCTGGAGTCTGCCTTGAGCATCTCGCTTTGGGGCTTCCCAGCAGTCGTCCAGGTTGACATATTCATAGCCCAGTCTTTTCCATCCGTCGCCGGCCAGCCTGTCTGCCATAGACTTGATCAAGCGTTCGCTATTGAGGGACAAGTGTTAGATCGTCTCAGCCTGCATGGAAAATACTGTATCTAATTACAGTATCTCTAAACAGCTCCTAGCCAAATGGCCACAGAAGACCAACTTCTGCAGCCATAAGTTGTCCTCTGGCGCCTCCATGGTCAGGGGAGAGCTAGAAAATGCAGAAAGGATGTCTCCTGGCCACTTTTTTTGCAGCTGCTCCATTGAAGACGATAATCAGAAGCAAGGACAAATTAAATTAAGCGGCACATTATACCAGCATGCTCAAAACCTACAATATTCACACTTGGTCATGGCAGAAGCTTTCAGGTTCTGTTTCAAACAAAGAAAAACAGCCAGAAGCTCACTTTAGCTCATGAGCCCTCCTAAAGAAGCATCAGCTTATGGCAAGACACCAACATTTTTCCACCATAGGGTGATTTTCCTCATGGGAATGAAGATTCCAAGAGGCTTACATTGCAAGCCAGACAAGATCATAAACCCATTTTACAGTCGTACCCCACTTGATTACCCCATATAACAATGAACCGCTTCACGACGATGTTTTGCAATCGCAATTGCGATCGCAAAATGATGTTTTATTGTTTTTTTTCCGCTTTGTGACGATCGGTTCCCTGCTTCGGGAACAGATTCTTCGCATTACGACGATCAAAACAGCTGATTGTCAGGTTTTCAAAATCGCCGGGGGCTGCTCAAAATGGCTCCCCGCTGTTTTTAGGAGGCATTTTTCGCACTACAGGCACCGAAAATGGCAGCCCCTATGGAGGACCTTCGCTGGACGAGCAGGTATTCAGCCCATTGGAACGCATTGAACAGTTTTCAATGCATTTCAATGGGCTTTTTTATTTCGCTTGACGTTTTCGCTCTACAGCGATTCCGCTGGAACGAATTAACGTTGTCAAGCGAGGCACCACTGTACGTGATTTCAACTTTCACTGGCTTACAGTAGGAACTTTGGGCAATTAAGCTTGTTAGGATTGTTCAGAATTTCAGAAAGACAACTCAAGAAATAAACATCTCGTTTTGTGACAATTTCCACCATTTCCAAATAGGTGTCCTCAGGAAAGTTTCTGTCCAGTCAAAGAGTGCGGGACAAAAGGGTCGCATCTACTCCCCCACCTGATACAGTTGTCAGGGTCGTTTTTACAGTCTGTGTTACACCTAAAGCGCTCCCAGGGGACCCAGCCCATGGGCGGCGTCCTCAGCAGACCGTTGTTCAGCGAGGAAGTGCAAGCGGCCACCCCGAGAAAGACCCCCAAGGTGAAAAGGGACATGATGGAGGCAGCAACCCTGCAAACAAAACACAACACAGAAAAATATACATCAGTCCTGCCTCTCAGTTCCTTCCCCGCCCCTTTCCAGTGGTTTAAAATCATTTCTAACAGAGGAACCTCTACAATTTCTCCAGCAGTTACTAAAATAGAATTTATCAGGGGGTTCCAAAACAGAAAAGAAGCAGGCTCAAGCGAAACATTGCAATGGTGTTGGTTGGGTTTTTTCGTCATTGCTTGTTTTACTGAGTGGCGCGTCTCTTCAAGGTTTGCATGCCCCTCATTTCTGCCTGTGGGGGGTCAACCTGGCACTAGCTGCGCCTCTTTTTATGGATGGGGGCCTTCCCAAACTTTTGCAGGAGCCCAAACGTGCTTTCCGCGTCGCCCACCCCAAGCGCCAGAGGGTGCAAGCGCCATCCAAGTTTATTTTTCAGCTGCTTTCTCATGATTCGGGGCCACCTGGCTTGGCAGAGTTCAGGGACGTTACTGTGTTTTTTTTTTAAAAAAAATACATTTCCCAGAATCCCCCAGCCAGGACCAACCCCCCCTCCCTCCACAAAGGAAGAGCTTCGCCCTACCCTCGCTACCTCCCTGCAAGGGGAGGAAGGAAGCCAGCCAGAAAAATTTAAAAAAAGGTTTAAAGGGTGTTAAAAATTATCAGACTTTGTTTTGATCCCTTCCCCAGAGTTTAAATCCTCTTTGGTGAGGGTGACGTCATAAGCGGTTGGCTATGACGTAACGAAGAGGAACCAGCCCTCTCATTGGCCGCGGAGGCGCCGAGCCCCGCCCCGTTGGAGAATCTCCGCCGTCCGAGCGAGTTAGCCCCGCCCCTTCGCACCTTGAGGACTTGCGCAGGCGCATCTCTTCATGCTAGCCATCGGTTAAAATAAGACGAGTCACGTGAGGCCGGCCGGGCTAGCGCGCATGCGCACTACGCTCCAGCCGTTCTGCCGGCTTCCTCCTTTCCCCCTCTCTCCTGAGGTCACCGCTCGTTCCCGCTGAGAGACTCCGCGACACCGCAGGGGCGGGCGAGGGGCGAGGGACGCTTGCTTCTTTCTACCGGCCCCCGTGGATGGCTGTCAATCTTTTCTTCCCTCGACTCGACTTTTACTTCAGGGACTCGGGACCGCTCTAGTTCCTGTTTATGGAGGCGGGGCCTTCAGATGGCAGTAGACGTCCGTCCTATCCGGAGGGCCGATGCTATGACGCGCAGCCAATGGGAGACCCGCCTCTTCCAGTGCGGCCAATGCAGAGGGAGGCGGAGGCGGGGCCGGTGAGCGCGTTCCAACCTCCCTCAGGAGCGACTCGCGGCAGCCAATGGCGAGCCGGAGCGATTTCTCGGCGGGAAAAGCGGGAGAGCTGCGAGCGCGTCCCATAGGAGCCGCGGCGACCTCCGAGCGGCAGGGGGCGCTGTGGCGAAGGGCGTCCGAGGCCTAGACCGGAACGTCGCTCCGGCGGGCCGGAAGGAAGCGGAGCGGGCGAGAGAACGAGAGAGAGAGAGAGAGAGAGGGGCCTGGCTGGTCGCGAAGCGCCTCCACCGCCCTGCCTTCTCCTCCGCCTCTTTCGCCTCCGCACGAGCGGCGCGGCCTCCTCCGTCCTGAGGGAGCAGGTGAGCCCCGCCCCCCCCGAGAGGCGGAGGGGGGGAGGGAGGGATGGAGAGGGAGCGGGGGGGTCCCCTTCCTCCTCCTCCTCCTCCGGTGGGCGGGTCGTGGGACTCCGGGAGGCCTGCTCGTGGGAAGAAGGAGATGCGTGTAGCTTTCCCGCGGGCGGGTCGGGGTGGGTTGTCTTATTGGAGCCCCAAAAGTTACTCCTTGTAACTTTTGATCTTGGGAGAGGGGAAAGCTTGCTTTGTTTGGTCCAGACCCGATTTTGGACCCTGCACTACAACTCCCATCCTCCCCNTTTCCAGGCATCTGGCCCAGGGATGGGGAAGCCCCTGTCTGGCTCCAAGCGGTGACCCTGCACTACAACTCCCATCCTCCCCACTCCCCGGCCTGGCCAGCTGGGTTACCTTTGGGGGGGACTTACGACCCTCTAGGTGAGGTCAGACTACAGCCCCCATCATCCCCAGTAGCCAGGGGGAGACATGGGAGGCCAGCCGCGTCTGGGTCTGGGAGGCGACGGGTGGCCCTCCCAATCCATGGGTCTTGAGGGGGATGGAGCTGGTCAGGGAGGAGGAGGAGGAGGAGGAAGCTGCGAGCTGGGAGGAGCTCCCTTCCCTTCCCCCTTTTGGGGTGCTCTCCCATGCGCCCCAAAAGATTTCTGGCAGCATCAGGGAGGAGACGGGCAGAGTTGCCTTCAGCTTTTGCCCCTGTGTTGATTTTCTGGCCCCGCTGGAAGCCTCTGTGTTAAATAAGGTGGTCTTGCTTTCTACAGAAGGTGTGAGACACCCCCCCTTCCTGAAGGGAAAAATAAAGGTGCAAGGTGGATGTGTGTGTGTGTGTGTGTGTGTATTGCGCAGTGGACTTTCTTATTTATCAGCAGAATAAGAAGGATAGTGATGTGTGTGTCCCCACTTATGCAGGTGAGATTCCTCCTTTAAGGTTAGAGAGAACTGCATTTTAAAGTACACATGGTAAGGATTTTTGAATGGGGGAACCCATATCTGGGACTCCCTTGGTTTGAAGTGCAACCACAATGATTTAAAAAAAGTGCCTTGTTTCCCCTGAATCAGTTTCTGATTCTGACAGGAGTGAAGAGCTTCGGGGGGGGGGCGCAGGTGACACACCTGTCAGGTGACGCCCTAAAGGTTTCTTGTGTCTTCCAAGCTTTTTGATGGATTTCATTGCCGCCCGGCTCTCTGCCATTCCATTCATTTCTGCTTTTATTGCAGATATCTTATCCTGATGTTTATTGCTTTTGCATTCCCTTTTTTGTTTTTAAATTCATAGGCTGTTTTACAAGAGGCTTATCTGGAAAGAATGGCATATAATTGAAACACATGTTTCTGTTTTAAGTGGTAGTCTGCTCTTGGGGCCCCTTCGGTAGAAAAGCGACTTGTAAATATGGAGAGAAGATAAAATTAGATCGGCGTACTTCACATTCCCTGCATTGTGTACAGTTGACAGCAAACACAAGTTGAATTACAGGAAGTGATACTGGAAGTAAAGCGCGTTTAGTAGTAGCTGGCCTTTAAAATGAGGCTGGTACATCAGGCAGGCACTGCTTTGCTCATCAGTCTGGTGGCTCCCCCCCCCCCAATATATATATATATTTCAAGTAGCAGCTTTTGGTGCTGTTCTTCTGCTTTGGATGCCTGAAGGGGCAGGGAAGCGATCAGAGTGTTAGGTGGTTTTCCTGATCCAGAGCCAGGTGGCTTACAACAGCTCCCTGAATCCCTCAAGGTAGCACCCTGGCAAGCATTGAAACGGTTATTTCAGCTCAGTACATTCACCTGGAATGTTCTGTGGGCCAGACATGGAGCTTGGAAAAGTTACATCTTTTGCTATTCCCAGCAGTGGTTGCGGTGGCTGCAGGATTCTGCAGGAGCTGTCATCCAGAAAGGAGCTTTTCCCAGGCTTTGGGCCACCAGGGCCCACTCTGTGATGTGGTTGCAAGTGGCGGTTTCCGTAACTGATGTCAGTGCCCTCCTGTGTATTTCGTCTGTTTCTTCCTCTGCTCAACGAGTGGAAAGGCTCTCGGAGCAGCTTATGTACCACTTGGAATAAGGCGCCATAGCCCTCATTCTCTGCCTTCTGACTTAAAAAGATGTGACACCAAAGGAAGAGGAGATGAGGAAGGCAAAGGAAAAAAATTGGTTATTGGGAAAGAGTGGCTCTTTTCAATATTCTGGTTCTTTTTTTTGCATTCTTGTGGATTTTGATACCTCTTACACCCCTTCTGTTTTGGGATTCCTGGCTCATGTATGCCTCTCATAATTGCAGGATGCTCTGGACGCTTTGGAATTCCACAGAAGCCTTTTTTGTGAGAACCAAGCTGTTCTTCAATTCTTCCCTGCCTTGTCTCCTTTCCTGAAGTACTTACAGGAACTGGAGTATAACACCAAGCCTTTTCCTGGGTTTTTCTTTTTCTTTGAGGAGAAAGCGTAAGGTTTCTGAATGTCCAGGCCTTGTTAATGCAGTCAGGTGCTCACTCTGTAGGACATGCAGTGAGTCTGTTTAAGACGTAGCAGATGTTTTGCCCAGTTCTAGTGGCTTTTGGGATTGACTGCTGTTGTGTTTATGTGCCTTGGAAAGAGACCAGTAATACATTTTTATAGGCAAAAGTGTTCCTTCACAAAGAAATTTAATAGCTTCATTAAAAGAACACTCTGTTGACTGGGCATCTGGTATTTTCGTGCATGGCTTTGGTAGTGCATGTGTAATTATTTTAAAAGCAGTCTTCAGCAAAGAAAACCAGAATGTTTTTCTTGCTTGTTCCTCTTTTGTTATATGGAATGCGAAGGCATGGATTGCATCAGGATTTAGTAAGAAACTATGATGCAGCCTGGCAAGAGTTAATTTAGATCTTCCCTATGTCTCCTCTGGAGTGGCTGAGAAGAAGAAATGAAGTAGTTGGTACTTCTGCATTAATTGCATTTTTATTGCTATGATGGAATGGTAAACTGTGTTTAATTTTATTTGGGCTCATCCCAAACAAACCAGCTTCATTAAAGTGTGGTTTAAAGTTGGCCTGTGTCCACTAACTGAAGTTCAGCTTAATCACAGTTTGTCTGGTGACAAAATGAAATGGTTTAGTTTTTTAAAAAATGAAAGCATCGAAATGTCTCCTCTTGGCTATGCCAGTGGGTGTGGGCAAGTGCCCAAGTTGGGATGAGGTGGAGGAACGACAGAGCTGTAGAACTGGAAGGGGGATCCCAGGGGCTGCATGACCCCATGAGGGATCCATCACCATCCCGTGAGGCTGGCTCATTCTCCTGCAGCAAAACTGTGGTTTAATGTTGCATCCAAACCAGCTTAAATCTGGTCTCCGCTGCCCCTGTTGTTCGTTTTCCATAATTTATTTCTCACTGCTTGTTTTACGAGGCAGCTGTTCACTGTCTTTTTTTGTTTCAGAAGCTGCCCACTGAAGAAGTGAATGTTTAGGATAACATGTCCAATGTTTCCGTGGATAGAAGCCTCAGACTGCAGGAGATTAAGAAGGGGCTGCAGTTTATACAGTAAGGGCTCCAGGCAACTGGACCTCTGTCATTGGCAGATGGGCTGAATGAAAACATGATAGCATTTTTAATTAATGTATTAATTGTTATTAGTTTTGACAGCTCTGTGTCAGATTGGAAGATCAGCCAGGCCTGGCCTTTCATAGTAAACTTGTGGGCAGGCACTCAAGTGCTGTGCATGGACTGTACCTCACATGCTTTCCAGGCTAAAGCTCTTAAGACTGCAGTTTTGGGGGGGGGAGGCGGCCCCTGCTGAAAGCAGCGGTACGTCCTTCTCAGTAATACATAGAGTTGTCCAAGCTGAATAGTACTTGTTGGGACCAATCCATGTGAGGAAACCTGAAGACTCTTTCTGTGGAAGGCAAAATAGGAAGTAATTTTAAGGACATCGAAATTTTTTAAAACTGTGTTTTGGCATTGCTTTTAAAGTCATCTTACTACTATGACGATTAACTATCCCAGGCACTTTGTTTTTCGTTTTGTTATGTTTGTTTTTTATTCTTGCTGTGCTTTCAGTCCCAGTCCTGGGAGGAAGGCAGGATGTAAGAGAAATAAGTAAACCATTAGCTTCTGGGCTTGAGAGAAGTGGTTGTTTAGTCCCTTTCCAACTGTTCCAGCCAGTCACTTGTGGGCAGTGAAGAAGCTGGATCCTCAGGAATCCAGCACTGGGTGGGAGGGCGGGTGGAATTGTGCTCCTCTTAAATCGGTTGAGATCTTGGCCCATTTAGAGAAAAAAAGTTGAGAAGTACTGTATCTTATGTCAGTTTTTGCATGTATGTATAGTATAGTATATATCTGGAATGATTTCCGTTTAGTGAGAAGTAGTTAAACTGGAAGACTTTTCATCGGGGAAGATCTATAATGCACACTGTGGGGCTGATTTCTGAATTGCCATGTGCAGGTTTGCAGCGTTCATGCAGCTTAAATGTTGTTCTCAGAATAATGCAAATTACCAGCAAGGAACTTTAAGTCTACAAAAGCCTCTTCCAACTCTGTATGCTCCAGATGTTTTGGCTACAACTCCCATCAGCTCTAGCAGCTCCAGCGTGGCCAGTGGTGATCAGAATTGTGGTTCCAAAATACCTGGAGAGCGCAGGGTTGGAGAAGGTGGGTGTACGTGGTTGGCAAGGCAAATCTAGAAATGTGGTCACAGTCCACAACTGAGGGTTGACAACGCAGCGCTCTCTCTCAGAAAAGCACATTTTAAAACAATTGGATGATTGGGCACATGCCGCTTAGCACATAACTAGCATGTTTCAAACAACAAAATTTTTAATATTTAGAATTTCATATCAGTCCCAGCAGCTTGACAAGGTTGCTGTCATTATATAGAGGACTTTTAAGGCAAAGAGATGGCACCTTAAGGCCAGTGAAGAAGTGTGTGGTGGAAGGGAGACTGTCAGCCAGTCTTCCCTGTCCCATACTTTTGTATTCGATGCTAGCTCAATTTGGATTTCCTTCTCCCTTTCCAGTCCTTTACAGTCAGTTTTAAGGGTGCTCTAGAGGGGTGGGAGGACATGAAGCAGGGAAGAGTTTGCCGATTCTGGCGGAAGGCACAGGACCTGTTGAAAATAAAGATCCTGGCCTTAAATCACCGCACATGCGCCAGTCAACATCATTTCCAGAGCCCTTCTGAATCATACAGAGCCTGCCAGGCGCAAGTATCCGCGGTGCATCATGTTGTTTTCCGATCAAAACTGCTGCTACTCTTGGGGACCCATCCTGAGGCAGAGGTTGACTGACGCCTGTAGGAGGTGAGGTGACAAGGGAATTCTAGTGAGTCAAAGTGACTTGTCTGTTGCATCACAAAAGAGTCTTCTGTTCTGCCTTGTCCATGACCGACCAGTCTACTTAAGCAGAAGCCTTAATGGGCTGGAGCGGCTCTGGCAGCAGGCAGGCAACTCAGCTTGGAGAGGACGCCAATGACCGAGGCCCTCCTAGAGGAAAACAGTTAATGAGAAGTACCTTTGGGAGGTGCTGTGCTTCTTGCAGGTCAGTATAGCTTTTTGTGGGCAAGATCTGAGTAAGATCTGACCTCTGTTTTTCCCCCCTTTTCTAGGTCTACTTTACCCTACCCGGGGACTCAAGAACAGTATGAGGTAACACTTTTGTATCCAACCATCCTTTCTATAGATTGATTGCATGCTCACCACAGTGGGGAATCTTTATTTTGGAGGCTATGGTGCTTAAAACGTGGTTCAGTTTTTCCTTAAACAATTCAGTATAAGCACTGATATTATGGTTTCCGTGAGACTTACCTTGGTAACGCCTTACCCTTGAGGAATATCAGGCTGTACTTCGCTGGAAGGGTCAGTGGTCCAGTTTGATGCCGGAGGCCATGGATTTTCTCCTTGGCATCTCGGCGCTGGGCCAGGAAAGAATTTGTTTCGGCTGTAGAGAGCTATAGCTGATCAGCATTGATGTAATGAGGCTAATGTCTGGACGGAGAACCAGGCACGGAAGAAGTCGGCTTCCGCGGTTTCTGCTCTTGCGTTGTGCTTGTCTGATTCCCTGTGAATGCCGTGGGTGAGAACGGTCAAGGGCTCCCGATGGGGCCGGGGAGATGTAGTTGGCTGTAAAGGCTGAATACTTCCCTTTCGCGTGGCTTGTCTTTTCTCCCAGAGTAGCCAAGGGAAGGAGTCCGAGAGTGTGCTCTGCTGTTTCTGTCTTCTTTTCGCATGCTGCCCTTGCCCACTGTCTGGGGCTGCGAAGCGGTTGCTAAGGGCCTCCGTAAAGATTGCATCAGAGAGAGAGAGAGCTCGGCAGCAGCTGGCCCTTTGGCTGGTGGGCCTTAAAGAAAGAAAGGAGAAGTCGTGACTGATGTACTTCCAATGCGCGAGCCTGCCCGTGAGGGTTTGACCCATTTTCTGGGGTTTTTGTTTTTGTTCCAGATATTCATACGAGAGCTGGTTCGAAACCTGTTCAATGAGGGGAACGATGCTTACCGAGAAGGTGACTGGGAAGGATCGCTGAACCACTATTCCGAAGCTTTAAATATAGCCGATTATGCCAGTTCTGAAGGGGTCCATATTCCTGATGACATATTAGAGAAGCTGCGTGTGAATCGCATTGCTTGTTATTCCAGGAAGGTGCGTCCCTGCCTGGGAAGGTTGGCTGAGCGACACGGGCTCGCTGCTTGATGGAGAGCTGGATCTCCTCTGGTGGGGGGCCGTGTGGGAGAGAGGAAGGGTCACTAGCTGAAAACTCACCAAGAGGCCTCTTGCCAGCCGAGGGGCCACCTGTGGCAGCGTCGTCTTCTTCTTTTGCCTGTGGGCTGGCAGTTGGGGGGGGGTCCCTGTGGGAGGTCTTGAGAGGCTGGCTGTTGCCCAGTGCAATCCCTTGACACACACACCCCAGGCTCTTTTCACTCAGGGAAAAGGAGGTGCCCTGAGCTGTTTTCCTCCCAAGAGGAGGATCATGATCTCGGAACTTACTGTGCTGTTTTGCACGAAAACCAGTCACAGCAGCCTTCTCCAAAAGCCTTACTACAACCTCTTCATTTTAAACCCCCACCCCAGGGAGGGAGAGATCTAGATGACCTGATGCATTTCCTGAGGTTCTCTGCTATGAGGGCCTTCCTTTGGGGTGTCGAGCATCCTAACGAGATGTCGGAAACCTTTCTTTTCTTCGTTTGGCGCAGGGCCAGCACAGCAGAGTTCTGGAAGACTGCGTGGTGGTTTTAAAACTGAACGAGAACAATTTCAGAGCTCTCTACCGGAAGGCCAAGGCCTTAAAAGAACTGGGGAGGATCAAGGAGGCTTACGACGCAGTTGCCAAGTGCTCCCTGGCTGTGCCACAAGTAAGTGGAGGGTTTGGGGGTCATTTTCTTGGCCTTTACTTTTCCATATGGTGGGAATAACACAGAAGTTAGTTGTCGATGGTTATGCTGTCAAGGAAGAAATGGGGCCAGCTTTTGTGGTATGTTCTGGTCTGGCGACTCAGCCAGCTGCCCCAGAACCACATGCGGCGGCCTGTGCATTGTGCAAGTGATCCGCTCCACTGCCGAGGCGTCCCGACACAGATCAAGTCCACGGGCAAAGTCTTGAGAAAATCGTAAGAATGGCAGGGTTACAGGTTGTCTGGAAATCTTGGGAATGTCCATCATGTTCTTTTTTTCTTCTTTTCAGGATGAAAATGTAATAAAATTAACACAAGAACTTGCTCAGAAGCTTGGATTAAAAATAAGAAAAGCTTACGTAAGGGCAAAGGTAGGTGGAAGCTGTTTTCCGCTACTGATTTAAAACGTTTTCTTTAGGGTTTGGTTATTTATGGTCACATCCTTCTTTACAGCCTTCCCCAAACTCTGTTTCTGGAGAAGGATCAAATAAGGTAAGATTCTGGTGTCTTTTGCATTTAAACGGAGTATGTTGGACATGAAAATGTGACCTGTCGGAAGAGATACATTAGATTCCTTTAACGTGCAGCTTTGCACTGTGCCAGATTTGGTTTGCTAGAAACAGGTAGAATGGATTGCTTTGGGGTTTTTAGTAATCGCTGTGTGCTCCTGCTACAGAATCGTTCCCCAGGATTCTTAATAATGGAGCATAAAGGTAAATATGCATACAGCATGCTCGGTGATGGTGGGGAAGGCCACGTGGGTGCCAGGCGGGTTCATGGTAGGACAGCTGGTATGTTTGTTTTGAGGTTTGTTTGAAAGCACCTTTCTCGGAGGAGTGAAACCTTTGTGGCCAGAGGCTTTCGGCAGCTCAGCTTGCTTTCCCTCCACAATGGTCTGGCTCCCTATTTTGAGGGTGGGGTTTCCATAACTATATGTCAAGGCAGGAGATGTTTGTTAAAACTTCTAATGACATGCAGTTTTAGAGTAAATGTTTCCTCCGAGGCCTGGTTGCGGAAGCCTCTTGATGATGGATTTTTTTGCTTGTTTGCAGGGTTCAAATCCGTCTGTAGAAGATATTGAATCAGGTGAGGCTTCATGGATGCAGCCGTGGCAAAGCGGGGTTTCCCCCCTCTTTTTTCCTACTAGTAGACTTGTTTTTATGTAGGTTAGCTGAGAGTCGTTCTATCGCCTTTTCTTTTGCATGGGTTTCTCAGTTGGTTGGTCTTTATGGCTTCTGCATGGGAATAGATTTGCCTGCTTCCAGATGGTGGGGGCGGTTCCTGCTTCCCTCTAAGCAGGCAGGAGCATGGGGACCGGAGTGGTTGGCAGGTGGTGGCCAACCTTCCTTCCCCGGGTGCCCCCTTTGAGCTGCTCTGGACGTGTCTTCCTGGGAATGCTGTCTTTTAGGCATGTTAGTTCTGTAGATCACGAGAGAGCTATGCTTCTCACTTCTGTGATCAAGTGGTGAGGAGTGGGCTGCGGTCATGTTGGCACTCACGCTGGGAGGGTTGGCATGGAGGGCCCAGCAGCTGCAGCAGCTTTTGGCTGTGATAGCCTTTGAAAATGTCGTAAGTTTCCCCCCCCCCTCTTTTTTCCCCTCTTTACTGTATATTGATGTCTGTTGCAGATTTTTCCATTTGGAAGGAAAAGGTTCTCCCTCCTGCCCCCTCCTCCTCCTCCTCCCCTTCCGGTTTTGCTCCTGATCTGTCGAGCGATCTGTCTCCATTGCCCATGGCCTCTCTCCTCACCCTTCCGTCGGAGAAAAACGCTCTGCCCAACGGAGGCTCTTTCCCCCTCCCAGAAGGTTGCCTGGACTGTGGGGATGGGGACGACGTTCTCGGGGATGAAATCGATGAGTTGCTGGATTCGGTGTCTGACCCTGGGGAGAGTGTCATGGTGAGCCACCTGGCCTTGGACCTTGCTGTGCAAACCGGCAGAGTTCCCCTGAAACCAGGGAGTGGGGATGGGGGAGCACAGGCCTCCGGGCGGGGTGGCGCGGGGGGGGGAGAGAAAAAAGATTCTTCTATGTCTTCTCCTGCCCAGTTGACTTGGGGAGTTGCCGCTGGGTCTGTCTGTGCATGTGCGGAGCTGATGCTCAGCCGCAGAACTGGGGGGCCTCCCCAGCTGCATCCTGAAGGAAACGGGGGGGTGTGAGCAGCAGCACCAGGAAGGTGCCGATCCCTGTGGCTTAATGCTGAGGTCCTGAAAGGGCAAGCGCTTGCGAGGCATCACCTGGCTGGTCTTGAGTCCAGATTCTTTTCCTTCCTGTCCTAGCAGAGCACAGTTGTCCGCGGAGCCCTCCCGGCGGCCACCATGGCTCCCAGCATCCCTTTTTCTGCTCCTTTGCTTGGGACGTTGCCAGTCGGGCCTGGATTTGTCCCTGCGGTCTCTTATTCAGACATGTATTCCTCTCAGCCCTTGGTCTCTGCCCTGGACAGCTTTTGTTCCTCTCTCAGTCATTTCTCCATTGGGGATTCTACTAAAAGAGGTAAGCCTGCAGCGCTAGACCACCTGAACCAGTGAAGGATGTAAAGTGAAGCCGTCTTCCAGAAATCCCACTGGGAGAATGCCCCCCCCCAGAGATGCTGACTGGGGGATTCTGGGAGCCTCGGTGGGAAGCAAGGAAATCTTCAAGTCCTGCTTTTACCCTAAGAGGCGTCTCATAAGGCAGACGGCCCTTGCAGTCTTAGATGAGTTTCTCACGGTGGCTGCCTGCAAGTCAGGGAGCAGTTGCTATGCTAGCTTGCGGCCTCAAAACTGCCAGAGACTGGTGGCACCTTAAAAGACAAGCCTGTTTTATTTGAGCTAAACACTTGCGGTCTTCAGCAGCCCATGTCCTGCATCTGTTGCGTTGGCCTGTGGCTCACAGATGTTATGCCATATAAAGCCTGTTAGGCTTGAAGCTGCTGCAGGATACTAACGGGAGGGCACTCTGTGGCACACACACCAATGCTGTGCTGTTTGGGAGGGTGGCTTCACCCCTTTGTGGCACACTGGTTTGGGAATCCCTGCAGCAGGAACCTGGGGAGGTTCTTTGTAAAGGCAATGTTACATTCGCTCAGTTGAGCTTCCTTTTTGCTTGCGCGCAGACTAACCTGTAGGTGTTCTCCGTCCTGACAGATACGCCCGGTTCTCTTTCCAGAGATGTCTCTTTGGCATTAAACAGCAGTTCCCCTCTCCGACTTGTAAGTTCCCCTGCGGGTGCTGTTTTCCCAGATGTTCTGAAGCTCTGATGCTGCTGCTTCGGTATGCTGGAGGTGTTCACTCTTCTTGTTGGTGTTTTTTGGTTTTTGGCAGATGAACGGGCCTACAAGCTTGTTTGGCTCCGACAGCTATATGGGCCTCCCGAGTCCCTCTCGCAACGACTATTCTAGCGTGTTTGGCAGTGCGCCGGGAAATGTGCCTGTCTCAGTGCCGGCATCCTTAGTTGCCCGAAACCCTTTGGAAGGCACTCATGAGTTAAGACAGGCCTGCCAGGTGTGCTTTATCAGAAAAGGTAAGGCGCAAAAGCGGAACATGTTGCAATTTAATGTGGGAGGGTGTACCATTTTCTATCCAAAAAAAGGTGCATTTTCCAGACTTCAGTTTGTCTTTCGATGATGTCAGACTTATTAAGAACTCTACGAACTGACTCTCGTGCTTACTTGCCAAGCACAGAGACCAGGTTTCGAAGTCTAAAGCAGTGGTCCTCAACCTTGGGCCTCCAGATGTTCTTGGACTACAACTCCCAGAAGCCTTCACCGCCACCTCTTCTGGCCAGGATTTCTGGGAGTTGAAGACCAAGAACATCTGGAGGCCCAAGGTTGGGGAACACTGGTCTAAAGGGACTTTTACTGGTTTAGCTTAGATGTTACTGTTTCAGATTATCGTCCTGTTTGACAACACCAGAATGCAGTGGGTGTCTCTTTTGGGATGGTGAAAGATTTCGCCCTTTTCCCTCCCACTTAAAATCATTTGTTCTTTTCATAGATCTGTGGCATGACACAGATCTTCCCTTTTCTTCGTGTGTTGAAGGAAACGGGTATTGCAGGACACAAGATTTGGTCATTGAATGGGTGTACTAGACCAGGAATGTCTGTTTTCTTGAACCCCCATTAGTGAACAGGAGGTCTTCAAAGCAGGGTTAGCTTGGCTGAAGTTGAATGGGTGTTCCCCCCCCCCCAAAAAAATGTTTTTGTTACTCTGGTTGTAGCAGGGTGAGAAATATAGAACAGCTTCTTTCAGCAGAACATTGGGTGGTGTGTTTAATAAACGAGTAAGCCTCTCTCCATTTCTTCTAGATCCAAAATTACTGGAGTATACCTACCATCCCAATCTGGAGCACCTCTGCAAGAAGGATATTCTGATAGGTAGAATAAAGAGTTCGGAAGATAAATCATGGAAAAAAATAAGGCCAAGGCCAACCAAAACGCAGTACGTGGGACCATATTATATATGTAAAGGTAAGGGCTTAGATCGGAAGATCTTTGTGTTGTTGTCCCAGGACAGGCGCTTTCGCCCCTGAGAAAAGGTGCATGTGCGCTAGTAGAAGGGGTGTTTTGTCATTCCCTTTCTTCTCCTGCCACCCCCTCCCAGATGTTGCAGCTGGAGAAGAGTGTCGATACGCCGGCCACTGCACCTTTGCGTATTGTCAGGAGGAGATTGACGTCTGGACCCTGGAGCGTAAAGGGGCTTTCAGTCGCGAAGCGCTCTTTGAAGGCAAAGGCGAGATCAGCTTGACCGTCTCTCGCCTTCTCCAAGAACATCACGGGCTGTTTATGTTTCTTTGCGAGGTGAGGGGTTTCCTTAAAACATTCAGGTGGCCCAAGGACAAAGCAGTGCATTGTGTGTGGGGGGGAGGGTCGGCCACGGGGACGTGGTCCTCAGAGTGGTTTCCTGCATGGCTGAAGTGGGTTTTTAAAATACTTCAATAGGGCAGTGTTGATTAAAAGAGGGAAACCTTTAATTTCCTTTAATTATAAGCCTCTTTCCCCAGGTTTTTTTTGTCAGTCATTCTTTAAATTAGCCTTGTTATTTTAGCTTTTGTTATTTTAGCAGAGTTGCAAGCCTTTGTTAATTAAACAGTCCATTACTGTGAAGTTAGTTGAACTCTTGGTAGGGTATTAATGGGGAGCAATGAAGTAATCTGTAACGAATTTAAATCGTTCTGTTTTTATAGTAATAAGTTTTGGGGGCCAGAATGGGTTTTGCTTCTCAAGTAATTTAAAAATATATATATTGTCAATTTTAGTATAAGAATCAATGATGAAAGTACAATGGTTAGTATCCTGTTGGTTATATATGTGTAATGGGAATGCCAGCTGTGCAGACTGCCTCAGTGGTCCAAGCAGGTCGTGTCTCCCGGAGTTGTGGCTAAAATCGAGGTGCCCGGCTCATCAGATTGGCGTGGCAGCTTTCACGATTGCCCTTCCACGGGGTCTAAATATCAGGGAGGCTAAAATATCCCTGTTTTATAGAAGATCCCTGTTCTCTGCCAATGGGGGAGGGGGCAGAGGAGGGTAAGCTACAAAGCCCCCTCTTACTCCTGGCCCCTTTGGCTCTGCCCAGTCGGGACCTCTAGACCACAGAATGGGGCCGTCCTCTCATCAAGTCACGAAGCTGAAAAAAAAATGGTGGGTTGCATTTTCTGGAGTAATTAGATGTGTTGTTTTTTTGTGTGTGTTTGTTTCAGAAATGTTTTGAGCATAAGCCCAGGATAATAAGCAAAAGGAATAAGGAGAATTCTTCGACTTGCTCTCACCCTGCTATGCATGACTTCGAAGAGAACAAGTACGTTCAAAATCTTGCTCGGACTTAAAAGTAGCAAGAGATTGCTTCCTACTTAAAAGAGAGTTTTTGTGTGTGTGTGTGTTCGTGCATGATAATTTGCAGCTATTAAGAGGTGGACATTTTCACTTCCGGTAAGAAAAGGAGTGTGAAGGAGATACAGAACTCAAATGTTGGGGCCAGGTAGAGGCCGGCGTCTGTTTCAGGAGCCCTGGTGGGTCTAGATGTACTTCTCCACATGCCGCTGGTTTTAAAAGCTACTGTTCTTATGTCCCAAATTGGATTATTGTTCTTTTTTTTTACTCTATTCTCTTGATTTTGATACTCGTGACCCTTTTTTTTTGTGAAGACATGGGAGCTTCCATGAGCTTCAGCGTGAATGTCGCGGCTTTCTTCCCACTTCTTTAGGTGAGGGGTCTCTTTGGGGGGGGGTAGAGCAGGGTTCAGTCTAGTTTTTCAGACCTATCATGTATTCTAGACATGTCCTGAGGCAGGAGCCAAGATTGTAGCCCGGTGGAGAGACCCTGCTCAGGTATGCTCTCCCCCATTTTCTTGTAGTCTCTCCTGCTTCAGCTGCAGTCCCTTGTGCCTCTGGTTTAAATGAAGGACAAACAGGACGGAAAGCTTAGTGATGAGGCGAAAGGAGCAGCGCTGGCCTAAGGGGCTTTGGCTGTAAGAGGGGCTTGGTCTCCCTCTCCCAGCCAACTCAACAGTTTCCTGTTGTTTAAAACGGAGCGCGCGAAATGTTTGCTACAGGATTGCGTCTGATGTATTCGTTCTCTCTGTCGCATGGCCTTCTGAAGAGACTTTTTAAAAGCACATTTCCTCTGCTCACCCCTGACCTGTAACAACCACAAACCCCCCCTAGGTGCCTTGTCCACATTTTGCGAGAAACGACAGTGAAGTATTCCAAGATACGCCCTTTTCACCCTCAGTGTCAACTAGACCTGTGCAGGCATGAAGTTCGCTACGGCTGTTCACGGGATGATGAGTGTTTCTACGCTCACAGTCTTGTGGAGCTCCAAGTGTGGATGATGCAGAATAAGACAGGTAAGGGGGAGGCCAAGAGCAGGGGGAGGTGGTTCCACACAGGCCTCTGTGCATGGGCAGAGTGCCTTTTCCCTGTTGCTCAACGACTGCACCCTTCATTAATGCTAATGGAGGTAGGGGGCCACCCTCCCTCTCAGCTCCCGGGGGCTTTAAAATATGACAGATTTTTATGGTTGGCGAAAATAGCCACAGTGCAGGTACCTCCATGAAATGTACATTTGGGACATACCGTTCGGTAAGAAACATTAAGAGACTTTAAACGTGCCTACGATGTAATGGGTCGTATTTCTGGGGAAGCACACCTAAGCTTTTAAAAAGCCTTTGAAAAAGTCTGTTGCTGATGCTGAAGTGCTTGTAAGGCAGCCTTTTGGGACTCTCGTTGGTGCTTGTGCTCCAAGGGCAAGGCCCGTCACAATTGCCTAAGAGGTGTCTCTCCTTTCCCACAGGTATTACTCAGGAGGCTATTGTTCAAGAGTCAAAAAAATATTGGCAGAATATGGAATCAAATGCGCACGGAGCCCAGGTATTTTTCTCCCATTGCCTTGTGAAGCAACCAGCATAGCTGACTTGAGACCCTTCCCCCCCATCTCCATCCTCCATTTATCTTTGTTTATTATGCTGCTCGTTTACTATTCCCCGTGTGCCTGCTGGGCCTTCATTAGGCAGCTGGGGGGAACCCAGCAGTGTTGCTTGTGAAGACATCTGCGGATGAATCCTTGCGCAGGCCTTAAGATGAGGTCTTCCCAGCCCTCGGTTCTCAACTCACAGGATCTCCGTGCTTAACAGGTGGAAGAGAATGGAGACACATCTTTTTGGAAAGAATCTTATTCTAGGAGCATCAAATATTGCATCTAGCCTCCTCAGCTTGCTGCTTTCTATGACTTCGAAGGAAGCTGAACCAAAATTTTAAAACTAACATTTCCAGTTATTCAAGTTACCCGTGGCATTTCTTACTTTTCAAACTGTGCATCTCTTTGACACATTTTGAAACTCCCATTTGTTTCGAAAGCAGTTAGCGATGTATTGGGAGACACTCTCCTCCAAGAAACACTGATTTGAAATGCATTTGAGTCTTTAGAATTGAGCAGTACTACAATTTGGATCCAGATTCTACAGTTAGTCAGGTTTTGCCTCTTTTTTTAATTTTAAAATGTTGACCGGAAAAGGAGAATCAGTGCAATCAGTTTAATCACAATAGAACCAACTGCTATAAAAACTAACAAAATTTGAGGGGGAAAAAAGTTGTAAACCTGTTCAGGGAAATGATGGGAGTCTTGGGGGGGTGTCTCTCCTGCCTGCTGGGGCTCAGCCGGGGGAAAAGCCACCTTTGCAGGAGGAGCCGGCCGCCTCCTGTCTCCTTGCGTGTTGGCTCTGCTGTTTTTGCAGCCCTAAAACGCCCTTGTGTTTTGCTCTGTCTTTCAAGATTCTCACCAACCAAGCAAAGCACGGCTCTCTGAATCTGAAAATGAAGTTTGTGTGCGCTCAGTGTTGGAGAAACGGCCAAGTTAGTGAGCCGGACAAGAACAAGAAGTACTGCAGTGCAAAAGCGAGGCACCCGTAAGTCACATCGCTTGGTTCTGCCTCTTGGTGGAAGGCCCTTCCGTGGTGGGAGTTACAGCCCAGGTCTGGAAGGCATCAGGTGGGCAGGGAGCGGATCTAGACGTTGGTCCGCAGGTATGTGATGTATCCAGGCCGCTACCTGCTTTTCTCTTCCTCTTTGGAACAGGGTTGGCATGAGAAAGTAATGAACTTCATAGGTAATCCAGTAAGTCATGAGCACTGGCGTTTCCTTGAGTGAAGTTCCTGCTCTCTGGGAACGGACCTTTCCTTGCACAGCTTTCTTTTTCCCTGTAGCGGCTCCGCACGGTCACTTATTGCAACCCCCGTTTCTCTGAAAGGCTCTCTCCTTTTCCAGGTGGACCAGAGATCGTAGGGTGCTGCTGGTGATGTCCAACGAGCGCAAGAAGTGGAACACGATCCGCCCTCTGCCCACCAAGAAGCAAGTGCCTTTGCAGTTTGATGTGAGCAGGACTTTAAAAAACCGGGGTTTGGCTTTTTGTGTCGTTTTATTTGGTTCTAGAACTAAGTTGTCAGGGCTCAGATTTGTTGGCATATTTTGTTATCCAGCACTGGTGGAATTAAGACTTTAAAGGGGTGCACAGGACTTAAAATAAGAAAGGGGTGGGGGAAATCACGTATAATTGAGCTTATGTGACTCTGGCATTTTCCTCTTTCTTCTCTAGTTGTGTAATCATATTGCTTCAGGCAAGAAATGTCAGTATGTGGGGAACTGCTCTTTCGCTCACAGTTATGAAGAGCGAGAAATGTGGACTTACATGAAGGAGAATGGCAGTAAGTAATTGAAGTGGAGATGTATGCCTCTTGGCACTCTGATAACCATCGCCTGCCTCTGGTGTGAGAGCGAGTTCATTCAGCTTCATCCTGTCCAAAAAGCAAGCCTCAATCCAGTGCTAAATTGCACACTGTGGTTTAGATTATGCCCGTTATGTAGATTCTGTGCAGATCTGATGGCCTAATATGTTCTGTTTATCTCATTCTGGCTGGGGCAGAGCCTAGCGTGCCTCAAACGGGCCATCCTGGGTGAGCGGGCAGGCTTTCCGGGCAACAGGATGGATGAGACCAGGTACTGGAGTGATGTGCTCCACTCAACTTGTGCACAGCTACAAGGCTCTGAAACACCAGAACCTTTCTCCTGGATTGGCTTTGCAAAGTGTCTTTGATTTCCAGAATGTGCCTTACTTAAACACGGTTAAATGGATGGATAATATTTTTCTATTAATCTTTAAAGGCAAGCAACGGATGTAATATCTCACAAATGCTTATTCCCCATTGTCTAAATCGGGAGCTTTTGTGTGGCATGTAAGAGTTATTTCCTGTTTGTGTCTGCTTAGCTATGGAAATAGAGCAAAGAATAAACCCTGTATAGGAGCTGTTCTCGTTTGGATCCCAGAGAGCAGGACCTTCTGAAAACATTTCCAGCAAATGGGATCGGTTTAATTCGGTGGCAGTTGACGTCCAAGCCACCAGCCCTGTCCGTTGCCCTCATTCCGTTAACAGGACTCCAGACATGAACTGGGGTGGGTGAAAGTTAGGAGGGGGCATAGACGAGAGAACAGGCTTTTCATTCTTCCTCCTCTGAGGCAGCTGCGCCTTGTCCAATTCCTCCCCCTTTGAATGTCTGCAGATCACCTGGGAGCCCCCGAGGCTTGTCCGAGAGAGGGAAGCCTTTCCTGGACGCGATCAGCCCGAGGGTCTTGGGCCACGTTCCTCAAGAGAGAGAGGAACCCATTCCGACCCATTCAGTTGACTTGCTCATATCTTAATTTCTACAAACTTAACTTCAGCTTCTGTTTTCACCTAGTTCAAGACATGGAGCAGCTGTATGAAATGTGGCTGAAGAGCCAGAAGCCCGAAAAGGGGGAGGATTCCACTGCTCAGGCGAACAGGGAGAACGGGAAGCAAATCCACATGCCGACCGACTATGCAGAAGTTACGGTAAGTCCTGAAGGTCCACCAGTGAGTGTGGGACCTTCTTCCTCTGTGCCCGCGAGGTGAAGGCTGGCATGTGTCTTAGGAAAATAAAGTTAAAAAAATAATTGGCCCAGAGCGAGTGGCCAGTTCACTTCCTAGGGGGATGTGATTGACCCTTGGGGGGAAGGGGAGGGGTACCTTATCCAGACCTGTAGGGGCTCCCCGAGCGCCAAAGACTCACCACAACCACCACGGGAAGTGACCCACAGCGTGTGCCTGTTTGAGCCAGGTGGACTTCCACTGCTGGATGTGTGGGAAGAACTGTAACAGCGAGAAGCAATGGCAGGGCCACATTGCGTCCGAAAAGCATAAAGAGAAAGTATTCCACACAGAAGATGACCAGAACCGCTGGCAACATCGTTTTCCAACGGGCTATTTCAGCATTTGTGATAGGTAGGTGCTTTTCAATGTGCTTGGCATTTATGCAGCTGCCTGGTCGCAGAGAGCTCGCCCTCGGGTTGAGATTTGAGATTTCTCAAAGTCGTAGAGGGACAGCATCGGGCCAACCATTTCGAGCCACTTCTGGCATGCCGTTTGAAATCCTTTCCCAGCAGAGAGGACGGGGCTTCTGATGGTTCTCCTGGACAGCCGCCTTTTCATCAGTAATGTTACCCTGGGGAAACAGTCACTTCCTGGAAGCCTGAGAATCAGGAATCAGTCTGCTGATTTTTACAGCAAATCCCCCAGATCTTTACCAGGAGATCAGAGCTGAGTCTTGATGTGCAGCTGTGCACGGAGATGTTCAGTAACACATGGCCTGATGGAATTGAACACCACACACAGAGAGAGATTTTGCTGGGGTCGTTGTGTGGAGCCCGTTTATCATACAGTTGAGAGGGAAGTGGGGTGCAAACATGCCAGGGTTTAGAGAGAAAAATCCTGGTCACTGTTTGAAAGTGTTTCAGCTTCAGGCAGCCAAGTGTCTAGGGCTGTCAATCGTTTGCGGGATGTTTTACCTGTGCTACTAGCTTTTTTTTTTCTTCCTCATTTTCTCCCCCCTCCAAACAGATATATGGCTGGTACTTGTGTTGAGGGGAACAACTGTAAATTTGCACATGGACCTGCCGAGCTGCGCGAATGGGAGGAGAGGAGGCACGTTCTAAGAATGAAGCTCAGCAAAGCTAGAAAAGACCACTTGATTGCTCCAAATGATAATGACTTTGGAAAATATAGTTTTTTGTTTAAAGATTTAAACTAACACGAAATAATGATGCATTTGTGTTGCCAGATGGAAGCATAAAATCAGAATTTGACAAATAATCAAAAGCATGTGACAGAAGCTGCAGATTTCCTGCTTTTATTGGCCTGTATTGTTCCTCCTGAAGAAGAAAATGTAGTAGATGTGTAGTGGGGGGGGACAGGGAGTTGGCAGGTCTGTCTCTGCTCTCATGAAACAGAACGGTGGCGTAATAATAAAAACACAGCCTGAAGTCTTAATGTGCTCATTCGCCTTCTGTTGTTGGACAGAAGAAGGTTGGTTGGAGAATAACGGGAGGGTGGAGTTCTCATGCTGAGGGGCCCCCCTCGTTTCGGTCCTTCAGCTGGAAACTTTTTAAAGGTAAGCTTCTTAAAACAGAGGTCTCGGGCTCGGAAGAAAATGATGGATGAAATTTCTTCAGATGTTTTAATGGAGAGGATTTGTTTAAAACAACTTTGCTATTTATCTCTATGTAGGTTGCTTAATAAAAAGATTTTTTTCTTATTAAAAGAAGATTTAAAGCAAAATAACCATTTAACGACAATATATGTTGAATGGGGTATTTTTCTCTATTTGTATGTTTCAATATAACTTACTGAACAGGATCTTGGAAGAAAGAGACATGCATTAATTTTTTTTTTTTTGGGAAATCAAGTAGTTACAATTTCTGTTTCTCGGTCTTTGCTGTTTCAATGATGATTTTGAAAGATTCCACTTGTATGTCAGTATTGTGTATCGTATGGACCAATATTGCCTGTAATAAAGATAACTTTACATAAAAAATATTTTTCCCCCTAAACCTACCTTTAGATTCCTGAAAGGGTCACAGCCATTTCTACCTGTAGCAGCTTCTCCAAACCTCTCTTTTCTCCCCCCCCCCAGGGTTGAGACTCAAAACTCCCACCTTGCTTGGGGGTGGGTTGTTTGTGGCCCTGGATGTAAGAGGTACAGTAAAGACACCTGGNTGTTGGGGGGGGGGGGGGAGGGAGGAGAAGAGGCTGGTGGACTCTTCTCCCGCCTGCGCTGGACGTGCCCGGCTGAGAGGTGCACCTCCTGGGGGGCTGACGCGGCTCCCTCCTGGACCCTGGGGAGGGTCCCCGATTTCGGCTGCCCCTCCTCTAGTGTGTGGTTTCTTGCTCTCTCTCATATCAGCTCGTCCCTTCCCCATTCCGATCTGAGAAGCTGGGCAGGCAGCTCCTGGGGGCCGAGGCCTGTGGCTCCTCGCTTTGGGCGGGTGTGGGGTGCCCAGCCCCAAAGGAAGGCATGTGTTTTTTTTGGGGGGGGGTAGACTGCCCTGGCTGCAGGGGGAAAGAGTTTGGCCATCGGCTCCTGGCCAGGGGTGCCCCGAGCCCAGCTCAGTCCTTTTATCCCAGGGAATCAAAATCACGGTGGCATCCCAGCTGTGGAACCCCTCCCCCTCCCTGCTGGGGATGATGGGAGTTGTGGCGAAGCCCCTCTGGCAGGCGGTGGGGGGGGGCTGAGGTTCCTTCTAGGCCCCCTCCAGTTCCAAATCTGCTTTTCAACCATTTCCCCACGAAGGGGAAGGCGAGCAACCCGGAGAGCTTCAGAAAAAGCTCTCTCTTTTTTTGGGGGGGGGGAGTAGACTCTCCCAGAAGGCTGGAGGATTGTGGGCGTTGTAGTCCAGGGAGCCGCCCGTCCGTCATTCTCAGCCTCGTCAGATGTTCTTGGACGACAACTCCCAGAAACCCCATCCAGCACAGCGGGGGCGGGGGACGGGGCGAAGGCTCCTGGGAGTTGTAGTCCGCCCCTCCCCCCGCCTGAGGGCGCCGCGTGGCCCCAGCAGGACTACCAACCCCAGAATCCCCTCCCCGGAGTCCCACGGTCCGGCGCCTCAGGAGCAGAAGGAGCGGGCGGGGAAGTTCCTTTTTTCTCTTCACCCCCCTCCTCCTCCTCGTCCTCCTCGGGAGGGAGGGAGAGGGGGATTCTGGGAGTTGTAGTCCGAAGGAGGGGAAGGGCCCCGCCTCCTCCTCCTCCCGCCGCCGCCGCTGAGGAGGAGGAAGAAGAAGAGGGCGAGGCCCCGGCCGGGATCCTCGCCGCCGCCGCCGCCTGTCAGGAGGGAGGGAAGGAGGGAAGGAAGGAAGGAAGGAGGCGACGTGGCGGCGCCCGGTTCGTCCGCCGGCCTTTCCCTTGTTTCCCTTCCTGAGGCGAGGCGAGCGAGGC